CTGACATGCAACCTGCTGGGAGTCTCCTCTGGTATAAGTTATATTAACACCATCAATTACATATATCTGTATTACTTGGATGAACAATCTTTAGGGACGGTCACACATTTTCATCTATGAGATCCTTAGCAGAATAAATTCCAAAGTACAAGATAAAATATAATTTGTCTCCCAAACTCCATTAAGAATCACAGTTCATCCATCAATGTCTTGACAAACCTACGGGCACTGTGTGTATTGGTTATAGGTTATAAAAAGATGAGCACCAGGAGGCAACATTTATCTGACATTTATCTCCTCATCACTGATTTCCTGTAGGAGACTATCATCTCCACACAGCTTGACCCATGATTGTCCATCATCTCATTCTCATTCTGAAAGGGAATAAAGTGGAGGATTGTACTCAAACCACACAGTACGAAGCGATGCCAACTAGTCTGTCTGCTGTGTTCAAAACTATTTCTGCAGTTCAAAGTCAGTAAAAGAAACGGCCACGACCCAGTTCTGTCATTTAGTTTTCTGAGGATTATCGTGACTTCTAGCAACAAGAACTACACTAATGTGGGATTTATGGTTCTTAAATCCTGTCAGCATTATTTACCTGGATTCCAGGGAAATACATATTGATATTGTGGTAATCAGTCATTATGAGGGCAGCAGCATTTCCCCAAGAATCACAGACATTACTTTGCATACAGCTCTAACCAACTGTCACCAGTGGAAAGATATTGGCGATGAAGAAATGCATGCAGGTAAACTGGGACCAGAGTAATAACACTGGCAGCAGCCTGTCGAGTGCAACTGCCAGTGTTATTACAGGCTGTGAAAGGTCACATTACTTATGTGTCTCCAGTTGTCTTTGTCTCCTCTGTCTTGGTTTACAGTCTCCCACTGAGCTTTCCCCTTGGTCCTGTGTGTTCCTGCAGTGAGTCACGTCTTCCCCTCACATGCAGGGCCTTACCTGCTAAGCTGCCACAGTGGAGCTCATCCGCATCTGCCAATGAGAACCTCTACTCTCACAGTCTTTTTCTTAATTGTTACATGTGCTCTGCATTTGCTAAAGTACATTTACACTGTAAAGTTCCTGGGATCCTGTGACTTTATCACACTGCTTCAATAAAGATATTAGTATCCTCAAATCCTGAAGTTATATTTAAAAATACCATGCGCAGGCCTTTACCTATCTGGAAAATATAAAATAGGTTGTTATGTTACAGCCGCACGTTAGCCAGATTGTGCACCGATGTGTTACGGCTGCAAGCTGAATTTAACATAGCACCGATGAACCGTATACACAAGAGATACTGAAGCTCTTTCAAAGTTTTCACACAAAGGTTTTAGCTCACTCTGCTTCGTCAGAGGCAGAGGTGATTATCAGGGTGCCACAGCCACACACCACACTTATTTATCACTATAAGGAGATAATTGGGTGTGAAAACCTTCAAGATAGAGGATAACAAATGCATTGCTACAGTGGAATTACTTTCACAGCTTGTTCTGTAACCTTTGCGGGCCACAGACACATTTTAAAAATTTGCAAATGAAGTGATGAATCAGGGCCGTGTTCTGTGTACACAACCCCGTACATTAATATGTTACACGTTGTTCTTGACAAAAACCCTAAAACTACAACTGATCATTATTCACTGTAATTCAGATGATATGCTTTTTATTATATAGGTTATTTATATTTATAGGGCCTACTTACACAACATGGCTAAGCAAGGGTTTTAGAAGATGGCAGTGGGAACTCAAACTTGAACCTGAGGAAAAATAGTTACCTAAGAAACATATCAGTTCCTACTTCTTGAAATATCAATAATCCAAGGATAGGACTTTGACCACCAAATTCCAATCAATGAATGATGAGTATGAGTGTTTGTGACTGATGAAAGTGTGTTGAGATATTTCAAGAATGAGATGGACCGATGGGCATATGACCCAAAAAAATGATGCCACCTGCTGTGGCCATCGTGGAGTCATAATACAAATGGCCTAAAAAAGTCAGTGTAACTGCCTGGACCATCAGTGGAAGTTATGTGTACCTCAAAGGAAAAAGGGGAGAAGACAAGTGAGTCTTCAGGCTCCCTTTTAATGATGTAGTCGCAAAATCTAAAGAGCGATGGCGCAAGTGCACTTAGGGGCATAAAGAAAAAGAGGGAAAGTGGTTCAAACAGCTAGTATTTAGTCTCTCAATTGTGTTTTGAGCTTAACAGGCAATAAAGCAATCAGAGTCCCATCTCCCTTTCTATTTAAAAGCTAGAAGTGGAGTAGACCATCTGTCTGCGTACGTGCATATTACTTTATCTAAATAATGTTTCCACGTTTTTGTTGTTTTGTTTAAAGTTTTTTGCTTTCCACTGATGATAGAGGGGCACTAACAATGCACCTGACCACACCTCATTTTAACACCAACACACCCATGGATGCAAGTGCCTTTGCTACTTAAACACTGTGGGTGCGGATGGAAAAATGACAACTTGGTTGATACGAAACACGTGACTGTTTTTCGCCACTTTGTAAGATAGAGCTCCAGATCTGGAGTGTTTGTTCTCTGTCGACAGCAAAAAATTAATTTAAAGTTTTCCTATTCCTTTTTTTTTTTTTTCTGTCAGTCGTGATGCTACGTGGCACCAGCCTAGAGAGATGGAGAGGAAGCTAGCTACATGTCCAGGGTAGTCCCCGCCCATCGTCAAAAAAGCAGAAAATGTTGCATTGACAGGGGCACTGTGAAATTGGAAAGTAGCTTGTGTTTCTCTGACAATTTCTCTTGCTATGTGAATATGTTAATGTGCACAATTAACTAATCAGCTCATGCCAGCTGGAGTACTTGGCAGCTTAGTCTGACAGATTCAGCTCCTCTCTTGAAAGCATCTTGAAAGATTGTGGCTCGGTCTCTCTGAGTAATTCTATCGCCTGCTCGGCTGGAATAAGTTCAGCTTGGACATTCCAGACACAGTTCCAGATCTTAGTGTTTTTCAAATCCTTTTTCAGGGTATTTTAGCTGTCAATTGGATTGGCATGATAATCAGCTAAATTAATGCCTTGACAAACAGAGATGGTTAGTGTATGTCAGGTCATCTAAAATACATATTCTACACCTATGACAACAAAAAGTAAAATATGTAATCCAGTGAAAGAAAGTCCTTCAAAAAACTGTTCGGTGCAGGTTAAAAGACAAAACCTTTTCTATTCGCTGGTGTTTAAACTGTTTGCTATTGAAGTAGGATCCTGTCACCTCGGATGCATGAAAGGGTCCAGTTTGATATTTGGTGACTGTAACATCCACTGCACAGCAGAGCAGTAGCCTTGATTGATAGGAATACTTAATTTGTCATTAAGGATGATTCATTTCAGTTATCTTTAAGGTTTAAAGTCATCCGCTAATGTCACTGAAAATCAATTATTTACCATGGCAACCAGCCTAAAGAGGACACAGATTGTGGGAGTTTAACAAATGCACACAAGAAGATCACTAAATAGAAACTAGAATTACCACCTTGCTGTTGCACGCCTCCGCAAATCAGTCAAGTTGCAACAAACATCACACACTCTGTTCCTGAGGTATTCTGTTAAATAATGGCCAGAAAGGTGTTTTTGAACATTATGATGTCACAGTGCAGTTTACCATTGATCTTTGGGATATAAAAAGTCATAACTTTATCCAACTAGACATTTATCTGAAAACTTGTTAGTCAGATATTGCATTCATATGGGTGGCTGTGGGTCAGGATGTAGAGCGGATCACCCACTAACCAGACGGATTGATTTGGTGGACAAGAACACCAAATTGTCATTGACGGCTGAAGGAGATTGAAAGAGCACTTTACAATACATAACTGCTGCTTTTCAAAAGCCAGATATTGTATATGCCTGTGTGCACAGAAATGGACCTCAGCAGTGGAAGCCATTGATTGTCTCACTGCGAGTGTATAGCATCTCCCCCTTTCCTGTTGGCACAGCATGTAATATGAGACCTCAAGTTTTCCTTTACCCACAGCAATCAATTTTGCTCAGCTGAGCTTCCTGGCCGGGATAGGGCCTGGCTAAGTATCTGTCTCCTCCGACACACAGCCCTGCATAACCTCACCCTCGGCAAAAAGCTTTCAGCGTAATAAAAGAAATATCTGACTCAAGACCCGGCCAATCTAATAACAGCCAGACAAGTCGGTCTGACTACAGAGCACTAACTGTGTCACTGCTAGGGGTAGGGATGTGTGTGGAACAAAAGTGCAGGAGAAAGGCTAAAAAATCAAAGAGATCACTCTGGTCTTTAATTCCCGGAGAAGATGATCCACATCACAATTCCTTCCATGCAATCAGTTTTACTTTGAGACATAGTTTTTCACAGCAAAGACCATTAATGCCTTTTATCTCAGAAAAGTAAGGAATCCAATATATGAGGCCATACATGATGATATATTTGATTGAGTCAAATTGATATGAATCTTAAAATCCCCCAGCATCCATTAATCTGACATATTGTGAAGCAGAAAGACTGGGGTGTAAATGTTCACTTAGAGACACGTCTTGTCCCTTTCAGGAGACATTTTCAGCCATCAGTTACCGTAATGAAAACAAATGGATTGGCTGGTTTCATAGAGATAGAAAGCCTGGGCTGCAGCCAAACATAACAGGGGTACATGCTGCCAACAGAGGCAGCGTGGGTGTTGGATTCAAAAAGACTGGCATGGAAAACAAACAAAGGATGACTACCTATTACTGACTGATTCCAAAAATGATACTGAGAGCGAGCTAATAGATGTAGGATTTTAAGATGTCATTTCATTCACAGCTCATGAAGATGACGCTATGAAATATAATTGAATTCATTGGCATGTATTAGCATACTGTCAATTACTATGCCAGGGAGGTACAAGCTGATCCTTTGAGTGAAAGTCAGCATCATCTGCAGGAACATGGCTGCCTGTTGTTCTCTCTACTGCTAATCTACACCGTAGCCACAATGGATAACTGATGTAGCTCAGATCACATCTTACCTGTAGCCACTGTGACTGGTCACTGTGTCCAGCTGTCCAAGCATTGACCTTGCCCTGTTTGTCCAAACGGGCCTTCCCAGGCTCCCAGGTGAACATGTCCATGTTGAGCGTCCTGAAGATGCTGGAGGCCGTGACCTGGTAGTCCTGGACATGGCCTGACTTCATTCCCAGTGGCTCAGAACAGCCTGGCAACAACAAAAACATATTTTCTTGTAACATAATGATCCTGGACACTAATGCTGCCATCTTGAGCTGACGATGTCTTTTGGTGCCATTAGCAATCGGGGATGACGTTTCTGTAGCATGGTGCCGCCAATGCACACAGTCAACCACTTCCAAGGTATTCTCAGCTGTCAATTATGTTGTTTGAACCCATTTTTATAGAATAAAATAAAGTTCAAATGAACTTGTTTGGCCCATATCCCATCCAGTAACATAGAGAAGACGTGTTTTATAAGCTATACTGCAGTCCATCTTTATATACTTGTGACATACACCTAAAAAAGTATAACAACAATGAGCATAATGAGGTTTACTTGGCATTGACGGATAATGACGTTTATTTTATTTTTAACTCCAATGATTACATGTTGACTTTGTGTAAACAGTTCACTGAAATAAACCCGGCTCACTCACCTGTTAGCTCACAACCGAGCAGCTCCATGCGTAAGGTGCAGTGCCTCCTGCAGACTTGGGGGTAAATGCGCACGTACTGGGCTTCGATAGGAGGGGTGAAGGAGTTGGCCGACGGAGCATTGTTATCAACATTTCCTCTGAAAATCTGTTGCAGGGGATGAAATAACAGCAGATGGGGGAGGGCAGGACAGTGAAGCAGATCAGTTCTGCGGTAATGTAGCAGGCTATCTGGCGCTGTCTCTAGTGTCTACTCCAAACTCAACAAATTGCTGTCATTCAAGGTCAATGAGCTAGAATTACAGGGAAAAATAGACAATTTCTTGCACCATTTGAGCCAGTAATTCATAAGAACAGTGGTGTGGTTTAAATTAGTGCTCCAGTTACGTTGTCGTACCTTCTGGAGTGTTTTATCCTAATGGCCTGAGATACTCAGACAGAGTCTCTGATTGTAGGGACTGATGTACTGCATGTGTAGGGTGCAGAGCGAGAAGGAGGAGAGCAAGAAAAAGCAAAGGACAGATAGAGCGGTGTGTTTGTGTGATAGGGGAAATAGGAGCTGTCAGTGGCTGGCAACAAGTCAAAGTAGAATTTAAAAAGAAAAAAGAAAAGCACTACTATATAGGTATTTGTCTCAGTCTGCTCCTCCAACCTTAACTTCCAAAAATATTGAATACAAATTCACACAAATTTTGACTGACAAGCTGAAAAACAAATCAGACAAGGAACAAAATAGAGATCACAGAATATTCAAGTCCAGACTTCATGTCCTATGCAATAAATGTATGAAGAAGTTTGAAAGTCAGGGTCATTCGGAGCTCGGCCAAATGGAAGACAGCCGTGGGTTTGCTGTCAGGGATGATAGAACGCTGTGTGGCCTATTTGGTGGCTGTTCATCCCCAAATAGTATAAAAATTCAATCTAGAAGTCATAAAAGTGGAGGGGGTAAGGGGCAGCAAGATGGGCCCGGTGTGTGCTAGCTAATTAAAAAGCCATCTCATCATGTCCTCCACCCTGCCCTTGACTGACTGCCTCGTCTCCAGTCAACTTGTGTGTGTGTGCATGTGTACGAGGAGTGTGTCTTTGTCTGTGCGTTACAGCTTAAGGGGAAGAGCGGAGAGCTGACAACGGGTGTGCACGCCTGTGTTTGTGTGCTCGTGTGTGTGTCTCTCACCATATCCTCATCTTTGCCCTTGACTTTGTATGTTCTCCAGGTCTTCCCGTCATCACTGTAGGCGACTTTGTAAGACTTGATGTACTCCGGGCTGCCGATACGCTTTGCACCCTGGGTAATTAGGCCCGTAACCCTCATTCTTCTCTGCAGGTTTATCTGTGGAGCCCCAAAAAAGAGACAAAAATCAAGAAATAATAATTTCATTTTCAGACACTACAATTGTGAGCATCTGTGCCCGTCTGTGCATGAGTGCGCATATGCAAGTCACGGGAAACAATTCACTCCCTTGTATCTTTTGTGTCAGGGCCATCCATCTTATTCAGAAAGTCTGTGATCAAATGGAACATTTAATCAATCCTCACGCTCAAGATCCGTTCTGTCAACCCTGTGCAGACTGTCGATATGGTGCCAATGTAAAGTGGCTTGAAGAGCCAAGAGGAAAAGAAAGAGCTTAGAGAGAGGAAAGTGATGAATGCTTCGATAGATCCTGCTTAGTGTGCACATAGCAGGATCATTATTACCTAAGCACAGTTGATGTGTGACACACCAGTGTGAGGTTTGACGTGCTTGTTACTAACAGGCCACTTTGTATCTGTTAACTACATATGAGTAGATAAGCACTTTTTCAAAATCTTCTCTCTCCTCTCTCAAATTAGCAACATCTTCTTTAACAGGATAATTTGCAATCATTGGAGATGTTTATGTTTAATTCATGTTTTTGTGTTTACATGCCTGTGAAGTCTATGAATAGACTTTGCTGGTTAATAGCTTCTAAAAGATCCTTGTATAAAAGGGCAGGCACCTCTCCCAGCAGTCGTTAAAGTGCAGAGGACATGATGATCTCAGTGACTAGTTTCACATCTTCAAATCAAAATTTTTGTTGCAACTTGAAAAAAAAGTCAAGGCGAGAGAAGATATATTTAGAAAAATTGACTGACAGAAGTCTCAGTTATTGTGAGGTGAATCAGATGCAGGTGTTTGAATTAGTATATTTTTCTGTTAGTGATATAATATGGTAAACAAGCCAAGATCAAACAGTTTTGCCGACACTAGATTTACAGACTAAATCATATTAAGTTGCTCTTTCATACTGAACCTTGGTCCAGGTCTGCGGCTGCCTCTGCACACAGCAGACTTTTTTTACCAAGCAGATTGATGTACTGAAGTAGAATGATTTCACCCTGGAGAACGGCGTGAAAGTGAGGAGCACTTACTTCTGTGACAAATAAGATGAAGCAAATAATCAGTGATGACAATTATTCATGAATCATTTTGGCACTACATTCCAGCCCAACACTTTCATTTTCAGGAAAAAAAAGGACTTGAAGTTTGGCTCATCCAGCTCTTTGACAAAAGAGAGCTGTATATTTTCCAGCTGCAGAACTGAGAGGAGGCAGTAGGACAGTGTTGAGTGTGCATTAAGCACACAGCCATTAACCTGGAATGGAAAAGTTGCATTCAAAAACGAATTGCAGACTAAAATAGGATTTGAATAACTGCCATGATTTGGACTAGTCTGACTCAAGTTTGCATTCTTTCTTCTTTCTACAACAAAACCCCAAAAGATATTGCAAACACAATATATAATATACGATTATATATACTCTATATAAGAACATGAACACGAGCAATGTCTAACTTCCCTGACAATGTGATCGTATTCAGGATGGTATTCTGGCAGCTTGAGCTCTTTTTCCGGTGCAGAAATGGTGGTAATTCTATGAAATAAGGCAATTTACAAGTAAAATATTTAAGAACCAAAGCTCACAGGGATAAGCAGAGTCCACTGAGTTAAACTCTCCTTTTCTGTTAATGAAAAAACTCCAGGTTGTGTCTCCTGGGGACATTAGAGATTAAAGTATCTGGCTCTTACGGATCCTGGACAAGAAAAGGAGTGTTGTTCGCTGACCTTGTCAAAAAACTACCTCAATAATATATAATTATAATATTGTGAATTGCATTTCTTTTCTGATATCCATTTGAAGTGACAAGACTCAATTACACATTTTTCTCTCCACACTTAAACCAATGTATCACGTTAATTATACATACGAATCCTTGTTAGAGCCTCTGAGCTGCACAGACCCACTTTTTCTTATTCACAGCATTTCTTCCCTCTCCTAAGTTTTCTCCATAGAGATAGATGCTCCGCGCACTAATTAGAGGCCCTGTCACTAAAAGGCCACTGCCTGGTAATTGGGGTGATCCTTCACATTTTTAATGACCACTCAGAAATGCACCTCTGCCACTTAAGCGTTAATAATGATGCATTTATTTGTTTGAGCGAGGCATCGTTGGAAACATCCTGCACGCAGACCTTTGTCTACAGAGTTACAAGTGTCAGTTTGAAGGAAAATGTCTCAGCGTGAGAGACGATTAACTTAAATCGCTTCCAATTCACACAGAGGTGTATGATTAAACTGACAAATGACATCCAAACGCATTTTGTAGGCAACAAACTATGATTGCATAAACTAAAAACATTTTCCTATTATAATTTAACAAAATCAGACAAAGTTGAATTTGAATTTAATATATTTTATTTTAGTGAATTCGTCTTTTTGCAGTGGATTATTCTGAAGCACTTTGTCACCTTGTTTAGACAAGTGCTATACAAATAAAGTTCTTATTATTATAATTATTGTATTATTTGTGCAGTTGAACCCAAAAGGAGATTATGCACACATGAAAAAATAAATGATCTTGATGGCTCATATTGTTTATATTTGATTAGATTTTAAGTTCATATTTGCCCTATCTGGGCGGCTGTAGCACAAAAGATAGAGAGGTTGGACCACTAACCAGAAGGTTGGTGCTTCAATCCTTTTGGGAAGGAAACTGAAACCTGAATGCCCCCGACAGCTGAACCAACAGCGTATGATAGAAAATCAGTGCTGTAGAATCAGTGTATGTGTGAATGTGACTTGTACTGTTAAGTACTTTGAGTGGAATATAAGATTAGAAAAGCATTTAAATACACTCCATTTAGCATATATAGCCAATACTGGAGGTAATTAGATTGGCTTACCACAGATTTTGCACAGCCCATTTTTGTACAAGGACATAAAATGACCAAGATACAGACATCTTTTCCAAAATAAGCATTATATTATCTACAGCAATGTATACACTATGTGTAATGTGTATAGTTTTTGATGCATCAAAGCACAAAATAAAATGAGAAAAACAAACATTAGCAGGTATACGCCCTCTCTAAGTTTGTGAGGTTTTTTTTCTTCTAAAAGAACAGGGTGAAAAAATTCCAAACTACCAGAAAAAGTTTAGTGTCTTACCCTTTTCTCCTTTCTTATTTCTACATACATTGTTTGTGCGAGGTGATCTGGGTAAAAATGCATGAGCCTCCAAAAAAAATTAACATCTACATGATACCATTCCTGTTGTTGTGGTTCTTTTGCAACAGAGAAGAAATACAGCTTGTTTGTGTGGTGCGATTTTACCTGTTTTCTCTCTGGAAAACATTCACGGATCTGACGAAATGTTCAGCACGTAACCGTCTGCAATATCCTGGAACTGACTATCTCCAGCTGTAATGCACGCCCTGCTTTCAGGAAGCTCAGTGTTGAAGCTTCCCTGATATGTTTGGATCTTGGAAAAAATGTGATACGGACAAACACGTTACCTCTCATTGGTTATACTATTAGCAGCAGGTGTTACAGAGGGTTACTGTGAGCAAAGCTACAGGCTGCGTTAAGATGGCCTGATGATTCTGGATTTAACATTGTTCCGTTCTTTGCATTTTAGATTTAAAGCTTGGTAGAGTAAGAAATCCACATCAGAAGTCATTTAGTTCTTTTAAAGATTATCATTGAAACTACCTAAGCACTGAAACAAAATAGCATGTGAGTACATACTGTACAGAGTCAAGCACATACTCACAAATACACTCTCTTTCCCTCATTCAAATGATGTTGTTTTGTGTGGTTCTTCTGCACCTTCAGTCCTCTGCTGTGTGAAATCCTGACAGTAAAAAGTCTCTCACTGTGCTCTCGTTGTTTAGAACACATAAGGTCAGAGTATCCCAATAATTATCTGGACTGTGGCGGCAATATTCCAATACATCCCACCACAGTTTCAAAATGAATTAGAAAATGTTTACGCTGCTCATGATAACATAAGACTTTTGAGTTTCTGCACTGTGAAACTGACTACAGCACCACTCGCTATTAGCAGCATGCTCACTCGTGTTCTTGTGCTATTATCCTTGAAGTAGTTAACGGACAGTTAGACTTCATAGTTTCAGCTGCAACATTGTGCTCGTAGCTGCAAGTGTTTTACAATGCAGTCCTCTCTTTCTCGCCAAAACCTGTCCTTCACTATTTAGTCTGTGTATCTGTCACCTGGAGTCTGCTGTGCCAGGGAACGATGTTTGTTTCTACTGCCATAGATTGAATGAATTCTGTGGGAAACGCTGGAGGCACATATGCAAATTACATCTGTTTTTTGTTTCTTCTCGATTTCTAGTGCATAAACGGAAACACTGTATGCTCTGTACAGTAAAAGTTGTCCCTCAACCAATATTTCTTCTAGATCACTACATGAACACGATCCAGACATTATCAACACACCAGATACGCAATCATGTTATCTTTGTTTTGGAGTCATAGGAGTATTGCCTAAATTATTTAACTCGTTATAGGCAAAAAGCCCAGATAAAAACACCACTGACACGTTGTGGCAGGACCAGAAGAAGTCCGAATTGTTCACAAAAATATTTGTATACAATCCTGTGATTTCTAAATAATCTATGAAAGAAAAGCATTCGTCAGACTCACATCTCAACCACAGAGTAGACTGTTGAATGTTAATTGAAAAGGGAAACGCTCCAGAGACTGACGTAGTTTTATATATTCATACATGCATTTGGCACATGCCAGCAAATGTGACAAACAGATGGAGACCTGCATCTGAACATGTGTTGTTAACTGTTTAGCTCACAATAAATGACTGTATGTGAAGACCTCTTTAGCCTTCACAAGTGATTGGGATTCTTTCTTGCTTCCACACACAGGCTGGCTGGAGCTTTATCTCGCTGATATTGGTCAGACCAGCAGCATATTTCCCTCGAGTGTTCAAATGCAATTTAATGTGTGAGCTAGTCTTGGCGAGGTGGTGGAAAACTGATATTGTGACATCGTACATACATGTGTGAAAACCAGCGCGAGCTCACGGACAATTCACAAGCACAGGAACTGACGTTAACAAAAAGAAACTCTTTTACAGTCTTTGCTTTGTCTGCGACTGTGTGATGTATTATTCAAAGTATGTTGCTCTATGTTTGATTCATATGTTGAGGTTCAGGGGGAGAACGAGCTGAGGCTGACTGACATCCAGAGTCACGTTTGGCACCTTAAAAATAACCAGACGAATCTCATCCCTTCCCTGATAGGGCTGTCACCTGTCAGAAGAACCTGTTTCACTTGACAGACGTGCAAACACAGTCACGCCACATCACTCTGCACAACAAAAGCACATCACCGACTCCTTAGCATAATCCCAAAACACCGACATGACTGTACACCTCTGTACTCACATCCCAATTATCCAGGCCTTGTGTAGAAACACACAATGCCTACAGCATCCTGCGCAACATCCCACGTGGCATCATTAAAGTCAAACAATGTTTTATGTTCTGTTCTCTTCACCTTCGCCGTGTGCCAGGCGCCTTCTCTTTCGCTCACGTCGACTCTATCTCTCTTATTTCCTCCCTCATTTTTACAAATCCATTTTTGCCCTGTCTTACTATTCTCTTGTTGTGACGTACAGCTTCACTTTCTCCATCACAGTGTCATGGTGCAGTATGTTTTTCTATTATATTTTGTTTACGGTTCACTGTGCATCATGTATCTGGCAGCAGCTCGCCTCTAAGGTTGTTGTCAGCATTTCTGTCATCAAAGAAGTGATTCCTGAGAACGACCAACGTAACAAAAGCCTAAAAACATTATGAACATCATACTTTATCAACTAGCTAAATAATTAATACTACAAATACTATTAATCACCATATTGTTTCATCTGGGACACTGTGAAACATGTGGGACTAAACTGAGCCAGGGAAGAGAACTGGGGTTAAGTTTCAGTGCTGGGTCTTGATGCCCGACTATTTGATCAACATAAATTCAGAAAATCAGTTCTGCTCACGCCTGCGTTCATACACTAGAGCCAGATCACTTCAGGTGAGGGGGTGTGGAGGAGCTTCAACATTATCATTTAAATCATTGCGGAATGCAATGAGACCTGGGGTTGAAATTCTGTAATACTACACATGGGAAATGAAAACCCAGGATTAAGAGGCCCAGGAACAAGGGCACTGGGATCTTGGCAGGACAGGATTGGCGAGGGCGGAAGCGTAGGATGTGACTGAAGAAATAATTCAGGGTTTCTTTTTTCAAGCAGCATATTGAACTATACAGAACTTCGCTGCCAGAGGCTTCTTAACTTGAACCTTGAGACATGTTCGGATCACTGCTTATTTTGGCTCCCAGTATGTTTTAAAGTTGATTTTAGGATCTTACTGTTCACTTTTCAGGTTTTTTATTCCCTCTCTATCGCTAACCTTTTAGTATCCTGTGTGCTGGTTCACACTTCGAGATGCACGGACAGACATATTTTATCTGCTCCAGAAACCCGACTGAAAACGAAACGGGTCCTGAGGCTCTGGAGCGATCTGCTGGAGGAAATTAGATTAACTGATTCCGTAATTCCTCTAAATAGCTTTTTAAATATTTTTATCAGCAAACTACCCCTGAAGTGAGTTTTCATTTTTCCTATTTTAAAAAGAAATAATATATATTCCAACTCTGTTATTTGTTTTTATCAGTTTTCAGTGAATTGGTTTTATGCCCTAAACACTTTTATGCATTCTCCTTTTAAATATAATGATTTTATGACTTGTTTCATTTTGCTGCCTCGTGAGGCTCTTTATGATGTTTTGTCTAAAGGGATTATTGTTATTTTTGTGTTCAATTATATTTTTATTTGTTATAGTTTTACAAAATTACAAGAGGCACTGGATTTTTAGCTTGAATGCAATATGTAGTTTTATTATTAAAACAAGGATATTACTGTTAATATAACTGCTGAATGTTATATACATTTATAAAGCTAATCTCTTGACACCACAGTGATCTGCACAACAGAATTTACGAAAGACTCGAATCTCTGAATAATTACAACAATGCACCGTAGTTTTGTTTCTCTGGAACCTCTATCGCCAAACTCAACACATGACACAGTGAAGTGTACATGGCAATGCAGGTACACGACTGCGGGCATGTCACGATCAAACATAAAAACAGGAGATGACACAGATGACACAAAGCGAGACGCACCAGCCTCCAAACAGCTATGCCCTTTAACACTGTGCCTCACGCCTGACTACACCTGCATCTGCTCTACTCCCAGCTCACACTCGGATGGCTTTTTATTACCAGTAAATGAGCCATCAATTGTACAGTATGTGTAATTAATTGAAACGTTGAAACTGTGGGGTTTTTTTCCATAGCGTGTAGTTTATACCCGCATCAACTATAACTTAATATAAGTTTCATATATAAGTCAAACAAAACTATTTAAAGCCACAACAAACAGGAGAATAATCTATAATTAAGATTGTGCCTTGTATAATATATAATTAAGAATGTGCCTTGTGTCTGGCTCTTGCTCCGCTTTGCGTGTCGCCTCTCCTGTGTCTGTGTTTTACCTGGATCCACGGCCATCTGTCATTCTCGGCAGCGGTCCAGGCATTGACCAGGCCCTTCTTGTTGAGGCGTGCAAAGTACGGGTACCACTTCTGCAAGCCGAAGAGAGCTCGGTGGGTAGAAGAGGCTGTTATCTGTTGGTTGGAGATTATCCCGCCCTCCATGCCCAGTGGTCCAGAGCATCCTGAGTGAAGAGAGGGAGAGAAAGGTGACAGATGACCCTTCAAATAGTGCCAGCACACAGAAATGTGTTCGCCTCAGTCTATGGAATGCATACAGATTCTCAAAAATGCCACAGAAACCGCATTTTGTGATGTCACTCTGTCCTTCACATCTTGTGTCTTTTTTCTTCAGTACCTCCCTATCAGAGTCCCCCCCCCCTTCACCTGTTCTACAACCAGACACACATTAGAGCTATAACCCTTTTCTGACTCTGTTATGTATTTTTCATAACCTCCAATGAAAACATTTTCTTTGAGGTCATCATCGATTGCTTCACCCTGACTCTTTCCAATCTTGCCATGCTTGCTGATTTGATTCATCACAACAAAACTCTTAATGTTTCTATTATGGCAAAATCCTTGTGAGTGCATTCATGTTGCAGGGACTAAGAGTCTGCAACTCCACCAGTAACACAGCCCTCAGGGTTCCTCCAAAGAAGCTGTGGCAACCTCTGGATAGCATCATCCTCAAAGTCAACAGGCTTTAAATATTGTACCGGCTGCAGCATTAAAGTGGGGCGCCATGCCATCAACTGAGAAATGCTGTCTTTCTTCTTTAAACAGCTTGTTCCTGCACTTAATCCTAATTGGTATGACCATGCATATCAAGAGCTCTTTAATAGACATACCTGTGGTGAAAGGGATTCTGGCAATGTTTATCCAGGAGAGAATTTATTACTCTGCAAAACAAGTATGTCTTTGTATTTCAGGCTTTAAAAAAAAAGAAATAAAAAGTCTAATAGGAAATCAAATAATAATAGAGAATGCATGAAAAATAATACACAGAAACAGAAGAGATTCGGGCACCCATATGGTGTGTAAGATAAATACAGCACATGCCACAATATCTAATTTCATTGCGGAAAATTAAAAGTCAAAAAGAGTTGCCATAGCTCCCCAAATAAAATCTGCTAATATACACACAAAAGATGTGGCTTTTCTTTCAAAACATATCAAATTTTGTGAAATGTAGTCGGCAACAGGACAGATTCAATCAGGATGTGAAATGCATGCAAATTATAAACTTTGCCTCCACAATTATAAATTAAATCAGCCCGAGGAAAGGCAGCATCACTGAGGACTCTGTGGAGCCAAGAGAACAACCTAAATAGTTCAACTGCTGTTGTTTCAGTTGTCGTTCAAAACAACTGAGGGATTTTTCCATCACAAATGAATCAGAGGAATTGACTGCAGATCTTCAGAATCCTTCAGCCTGAACACATTTGTGCAAATGCGATGAATTTGTATCTCAATCAGAAATCACTCAAACCTTGCATTGCAATATGCAACTTGTTTCTTAAGGTGTGAGGGGTGACATGAAGCAGGTCTGAATTCTGCTCAGGATGCACAGACCCCCACATCATTACATTTGTTCTATAGCCTAGAGTGTCTCTTAAAGATAAACAGCATCACAGCTGTGCTAAAGATGTGCTGAATTAGTTATGACTATTCATTAAGCCTGCATGTCAAGCGTTTATGACATAAAAACAGGGAATTAAACCTGAACACTTTTTCTTTTAAATGTTTTTTTTTCTAAATTAACATAAATGCAAAGAAAACTGTATAATTCCGCAGCGTCCACATTCTTACCTATATAACCCATTTCACTGTATAGGGAAAACTGACAGCATTCATTGTCAGTTATTTACAAAAAAAAAGATGAACATCCACCATCCAAAATATTACGACCATTTCTTTGTGAAGGAAAAGCAAAAAAACACTTGAACACAGTCTGAAGAATATTACTCAATGTCTACTGGGTGTTTTTTATGTTCTCTTAAATGTCATGACAACGTGTGTTACACAAGGAAACTACCTGAAGCAAATTCTTTATCTGTAAAATAATGATGTTGGATATAACCCTTCAATGACACAATTGAATTTATAACCCGTTGCTTTTGTTATTGTGCAAGAGTGGTTAACAGGGAGGGATTCCATTTTCCGTGCCATAGGTGTAAATTTAAAATCGGAATAAAACAGAGGAAGGATTACATTTATAACACTGCTTTTTGTTCATCAGCGGTGCATGTGATTAAAATTTTATCAGTCTGGTGACATATGATGGAACAGCTGCGTGCGAGAGCCTTAAAAATCAACAATGTGAGGAAAAGCTGAGGGAACATGGAAGTTACCCAAAAGAATGAGGACAAGGATCAAGTAAAGAGTTCAGCCGCAGGCACTGCTCGCTCATGCTGGGTGAACTGCAAGTGGCCAAGTAAACCAGCCTTCAGGGGTCGCCTGGAGCACTGGTCATCAGAGGGCTGTGATGGCATCCTGACCATTTAGGCAAAAGACTGAACCATTTCAAATTCAGCCCTGACACGCAGACACACAGGGCATCAGCAGACAATGAACCTGGCGGCGCTGAGAGCAGTGAGCTGACTTTCACCACACAAGAAAAGCCAAGAGTAAGAGAAGACTGGAACAATGACAACAACCCTTGCACGACCTATCCAGCTGGTAAAACAGTGGGGTTCTAGTCAACAGGGAGGCAGGGAGACAGTGAGTAATGTCTGAGGACAGTCCAGGGGGATCATCCGAGAAAAGAGCAAAGAGTGTACAGTGTGTGTGTGTCTGTGTGTGTGTACACTGACAGAGATGTGTTTGTTTATTCCACTATGGTAAATCACTCTCGCTTCACTAGTTTTTCCTTGTGTGTGACTCACCGCTCCCAGACTGATGAGAGGATGGTGTAGGTGGCTGCGGTGGCCTACTGCTGAAGCTAAAAAGAAGCTTGGGGATAAACAGCTCTTTATCTCGGGACGTGGTTAAACCGGTTGAAACCAAAAGGCTTGGAGTGTGAAATTAGAACTTTCTAAAATGACATGTGTTGGATTTTGCAGTGACCCTCTCTGCATTTTCCAATTTTGCCCTGGAGCCCTAATGCTTGTAAATCAAAGACAATGGATGTTTGTTTGTTTTAGTGGCTGCCTGTTGCAGATTCTGACTGGGAGTCAAGGAAGAAAAATGTGTTTGCTTCTCACAGGTGAGATTCTCACGTTGGTTGTATTTTCTTTTCCAAATACTCGTAATGAGAAGATTTACTTGGAATATTCACTGGGATATGACTGCAACCATATCATGGACCAACCCCCCTGAATTAATTCCTGAAAAGTGAAATGCACTAATATTTTCCTTCTTACAACCTGACGTTATGCCTAAGGTGTGATGTTGCATCAGCACATTTGTCGAGATGTTGTACTTCCTGGGTGGCCCTCTTGTAAGATATTCTCTGTGGATGTTGAGGCAAGACACTGTTGCAAAGCCGTGGTCCTTCTCACCTTGTGGCAATGATGGACCACTTTTAACGAGCTGCCTGCCAGTCGTCCGTCAGAGTGGCAGAGGCAGCCAGCCCTGGGGCCTTGGCCTGCTGGCCCCTGAGCATACATCAGCCCTGCGACAGCACACATCACTAACACCAGCACTACGATGATGTGACAGCTAAATCCATCTCCCACAAGCCCTACCTACAGCCTAAACAAATTAGAGTCGCACTGAAATTTATGCCAGCGCACCAATCCTAATGAGCACGCAGACGAAAGAAAGGATGAGGAAGAGAATAATAAAGACACAAAACAGATGTCAGCCATACAATGGAGGTTCCACAGGTGACAAATGAGACTGAATTAAATGCACCGACTTATATAATATGTAGGTGTCTGAGTGTTCCAGCGCATGTGTGTCCAAACATTCATGTGAATTTAGTTTCCAAATGAGCAGGAGAGAAATTGATGTTCAAATGGAAAAAAAAATTTGCAGTATAATAATAAAAAGACGGACATACAGTCACATATGGTCATTGTGTGTTGTCATGTTCTGTAGTGGTCTACAGCATGAAAATGAATAACTAGTGCAACCATGTGCTTAAAATAACAAGGGTGGTGAAATATGTTTTTACAGTTGTGTTCTCAATAACTGATTAATATAGAGCGGCCAAGACTGCTATCAACACCTCATTGTTGCCAGTTGTCAAAGCATTGCACTTTCTGGTATGTGAGTGCCCTGGATTCAAGTCCAACCCAGAGTCAATCAGGAAATGTGGAAGCTACCTTAAGGTGGATTGCAGCTTAAGTATCTCAGATCTTGTTTACGAGTAAGGGGAAGACGATACACAAGGTGGACAGGTGGTTCTGTGCATCAGTAATGCAGGCATTGTAACAGATCGTTGTGGTAAAGAAGGAACTGAGCCAAAATGCACAGATCTTGAATTCCTGGTCGATCTACTTTCCAACCCTCACGTTTGGTCACAAGATCTGGGTAATGACGGAAAGAACAAGATCACGAATGAAAGTGGCCAAAATTACGTTTCTCCTTCAAGTGGCTCAGCTTATCCTGAGAGCTACGGTGAGTGGTCCAGGAATCCGCAGGGAGCTTGAAGTAGATACTGCTCCTTCAAATCGAAAGGGGACAGTTGAGGCAGTTTGGGCATCTAGTCAGGATGCCTCCTGGGCGCCTTCTGTTGGAGGTTTATCAGGCATGCCCAACCATGAGAATCCAGAACTCATTGGAGGGATTACATATCCCATCTTGCCTTGGAATGACTTGGGATCCCCCCAAAAGAAGTAGAAAGCGTGGCTTGGGGAGGACATCTTACTTGACCGGCTACCTCTACAACCTGGCACGAATAAGCTAAAGACAATGGATGGATGGATGGATGGATGGATGGACAGGGTGAGGTAAACTTGGTGTACTTTACTTTCTGCTAAAGGCAGATGTGCTAACAAGCATGTTGGCCTTCAGATGTTTTAAGTTAAATTAGACTTGGGACATCCACCATGTTTCCTTAATATTGGATCTTTAACCGACTGTTTAACCCGTGTGAGTGTCTGAAAGTAACAATCACAAATGAGTTTCAACAGATTGAGGCAGCTTGTTCTCAATATATTTTAATGCTTCCCTGTGTATTTTACTCACATTCCTGTTGACTCAGACTTAATTGTCCCCTGGGGGAAATGTATTTTCAAAGTCATTTCAGTATAATATACACAAAAGGAAACATTTCAGCAGAGGCAACTTACCGAACATCACATAAAACATAAAACATGTACAGACAAGTCACAATTCACCGTGACAATTTATTTAGTGCTGCAATGGTAGAGGGTACAAAACTCCTACTGCATCGTGCCTGTTTCCATTTAAGTTTTCTGTACCTTTGTCTGGATGGAGGTAATGTGAAGTTGTGATAAAGGGGGTGGTCGGTGTCGTCTTCTATGGTGATAATGGCTCTGTCGTTTAGGTCTGTGATTTTGGATGCGGGAAGGTGATGATTCTCGAAGCGGTGTGTGTGATCCTGGTGAGCTTATTTTAGAAAGGAACAGTTGGAACAGTACAGCAGGATGGGTTTGACTATGCTTTTGTAAAGTAGCAACACGAGGTGGGAGGCAACGGACAGTGCTCTGAGTTTACAGATGACACAGAGTCATTGCTGTGATTGTTTATGGGTGGAAGTGATGTGTTGATCATGAATGGAGGTGGGTTTCAGTCCAGCGTGGGGTGTGTTTGAAGGCGAGCGATAGATCTGATCTTTCCTCCCACTTCTCCCCTTGTATTGGATCATGGGAATCAATAATAAATGCATTGTAATTATCTCAGTAGAATAGGATCATCACTGAAAAGACAGGCAACGGCCAAAACCCCATGACTGCTTTTGCATAATAGCCTCACACTGATTCCAGGTATAATACAGTATGGCTAGAAAATGCACGGCAGCTTAATCTGCAACAGTGGATATGTGTGTGTGGGCAAGTCATGCACTAACACACTGGCTGTGTGGGCTGAAGGAACAAGTCAGAGGAGATGATGAGTTCTTGCATAGAAGTGCATTCCAGGCATTCTACCATTTTTCTGTGAACACAATATTCACAGAAGACCAGACTGCTTCTTATGATAACACTGCGGCATTTTCTACAAATGATGAATTTAAGTATGAAAAGTCTTTAGATTTTAAAAGGGCATCCCACTACTTTTATGATCAGTGTATGCATCACAAGGAGCCCTGGAGAAGAAAATTACAAAGCTTTCAGCCAGCTAAAGTAGAAGCTTACAGGGCTAAAAAAAGCAACGATAGCCCATATTTCTAATCCTGAAGAACCGCCGGCCGTAAAACATTCATCAGATTTGTCATTTACGGTAAGCAAGAGCAACCGTGATGTCTCTCTTATTGGTGAGTCTGTGGTCTGCCATTGTTAGGCACAATGCAGGGCTTGCCAGCACTAACATTAATTGTGGGCGAGCAGAACTATTCTCAAATGGACAAAGCCAGCAGCACTCGCTGTCAGCTGAGCATGAAGACGTGAAGACATTTAATGTGTTCAGTTGCTTCTTAAATTTAAAATAAGTGCACTGCAGACAGAGTGCAGATCTACAGGAGCAAACTGTAAAACACATTAGTTTTTAAATAAATCAAAACTGAAGTCCAGCAATTATTATATATTGTATTGTAGTTTGATTGCTATCAAATTGTTATATTTTATCAATTTAAATTAATAAAGTTGACACATTTTCTTTTTGTCACTGTTCCTTGTAATGAAATGCCTCAGTTTCTGGCAGCCTTGTCAGAAAACATACTGATCAGTCTGAAAGTATTAGATCTGGCGAGTTCAGCTCTAGCCCAGTGCATTTGATTTCAAATCAAACAAACAAACAAACAAATGACGGCTTCAGGAATGTTTCGGGTGCTTAACATCTATATTTGGTGAGCAGTGGAGCAGTGGACTTTTGGCCATTTTCAAACCTGGGGAATATGTATGTAAAAAGACTAGTTTCTCCATCTGCTGTGGACATACGCAGCATCAATTAAAGGTCCAAGATTTAGGTGAAAGTTATCTATTAGCAGAAATTGAATATGAAAAAGTCACAGAGACCTTTTCACTAGTGTACGAATTGTTGTTTTCTTTACCCTTGAATGAGCCCTTTAAATACTTTATATCATCATCAGGGGCAGGTTCTCGCTACAGGCCGCCATGTTTTTTACAATAGCCCAGACTGGACAAACGAAACACCTTTTTAGTTTTTATGACAACTGAAGGATCCACAGGTTCTCTTTCATGTTTGAAAGGGGAGGATAAGGTGAGAGGTATTCAGCTGCAACATGCACCTTCACCACTAGATGTCACTAAATTCTATACACTGAACCTTTAAAGAAAAGAGTCAGCAATTCCAACTCACAGTCATTGTTTCAATCTAATGTGCTCAAGTACATATTGAATTCAGACTGCACTGCAACTTCAAAAATAACAAGCTTACTAAATGGTTGCATTATGTACTGTACAAATATTACATTAAATGAGGAAAGTGGATATGAACATTTTTAAATAAATAACAGAGCTTAGTTAAGTCAGGAACTGTTATAGGGCAATAACATGCAAGTACATTTAGTGTCCAAACGTGCCAGATGCATGATCCAAAAGGCTTTGTATTTACTCTCTTAATCATGGGTGTGTTTTGGGTGTAATGTGCAGTGAGGCAATTTTCCCATTCCCTTTAAATGCCAGGTGCACTTACACCTTGTTATAATGATACTATAAAGATGATTTTCCAGGTAGGAAGAGTGAACGCTTCTCTGCAGAGGAGATGGTTTCACTTCGGCACAAACAGACCATCTGTGTAACAAGCAGAGCGTAGATGCACTTTGCTCGGATCTGCCTATTACTATCATGATGATGCATTTTGTCCTATTGACTTCAGACCTGTTTTTTGTCATTTGTCAATTTCCTCTGAATCAATAAAGCAATGCACCAACAATGCGCCTGACCACATCACATATTAAGGCCAACACACCCATGGTGAGATGGGCACATTGCATTTACTATTTAAAAAATATCGGTGCTGGACGGAAAAAATAGACCAATGCATCTGAAACAAGCCAAGCTGTTTTGCACAGAGTGTAGGATATGGCACGAGGAGAGTGTTTTTCTCATTAACCAACCCAATCAGCTTTACTCGGCTCTTTTCCAATATCCCTCTGCATTGTATCATTCAGTTTTAAAATAAACTACCCGGTTTCCTATTGCCCCAGTGCAGACTTGCTCAAAATTCCTGCGTGTAGAGGTTTAGTCTGTCGCAGAGCAACTGTGCTGCACCTGAGATAGACAACGTGATTCATTAATTTGCGAGTACCAGTGCAGGGGTGGCTCAGAGCTCCAACTCCACTGATACATTAATCATAATATGTTCGTAAACTGAGCAAACAAATCCCCACAATAGCATAATAAACACATGAAGCCCCTTAGAGCTCTTGAGCATATTGGAGAAAGAAAGCCAATTCTGATAAGACAGAAGCTCTCTCCCTTCTCTGTTTCCATAAAGCCACTGGGCAAAAATTAAATGACGGCTTGTCTGCGCGAAGTGACTTCCCCGCATCCAAATATGTAGATTTAGTTTTTTTTCATAATTATGCTTCAGGAATTATTGTGGTGTCTTGTGAACATGCAGAATTCAAGGACTTGTTCATGTTTTTTCCTGTAATTTTTCAACAAAT